TGTCTGTCTAAGTGCTACTGGGGCCATGCGCACTACGCCGACCGCAGCAATGGAGGTATTACTAAATCTCACGCCATTGCACATCTTCATACAAGGAGAAACCAGGTCAGCTATTCACAGGCTAATGCAGGGACAAAACCCAATAAGCCAACTACATAGCGCCGACCACACAAGGCTATATCAGCAAGTACAAAGGGATAATATTCTAGCTATGCCTACTAATAGAGCCATAACCACATACAAATTTGAAAGAAATTTTCAAATTCAAATACCAGCCCGAGAATCCTGGAAACAGGGACCTCCCGTACAGGCTGAACTCGTCTGGTACACAGACGGTTCAAAAACCAAGGAAGGAGCCGGTGCTGGAATCTATGGACCTAAGTCGAAATCAACGATTTCACTAAGCTTAGGAAAATATGCAACAGTGTTCCAGGCTGAGCTAATAGCCATACAACACTGTGCAAGAGAAATATTAAATCAGCAAGTATCAGGCAAAACTATTGCCATATACTCTGATAGCCAAGCAGCTCTAAAGGCAATTCTCTCACCAGAAATCAAATCACGACTGGTGAAAGACTGTCTAGAAGACCTGACAGGCTAAGTAGTCAAAATAAGGTGACCTTAGCCTGGGTTCCAGGCCATGAGGGATATCAGGGCAACGAAAAGGCCGACGAATTTGCCCGAGAAGGCTCAGATAAGGCCATGACAGGCCCTGAACCCTTTTGTGGAGTCGCTAAGGCATTGTGCAAGGCATCCATTAAACAATGGATGCAAAAAGAGTCTCAGGAATGGTGGAACAAGTATCCAAGACTGAGACAGGCCAAACAGTTCATCAAGGAACCATCGGCCAAGTTTACGAAAGACCTACTGGATCAAAAACGTCAAATCGTTAGGATAACAGTAGGCCTTCTTACTGGACACTGTCGCCTCAAAAGGCACATGAGTGTCATAAATCCAGCAGAAGAAGCAACTTTGTGCAGGTTCTGTGAAGAAGAAGAGGAAACATCATTCCACGTCCTGTGCCAATGTGAAGGCTTGGCTGGAATGAGGTTTCTAACATTGGGCGAAGAAAAGCCAATTGCATGCAACTACATGCGGGAGCCACTGTCAAAGCTACTAAGACCAGGCTAAACGACATACTCTAAAACAAACGGAGTCCCACAATAGATCTGAAAAGGTCGCGGTGGACAAGGACAAATAACGTCCAACTCCTAATCTAATCTAAATCTAATCTACTTCAACAACATTTGACAGGACAAATTCTTCTATATCTATATTTTCAAAAGAACCTTGTTTTTTCTTTCTCTCTTCCCAATCCTAAAACATTAAATTATTTAGAAACGACCCCTGTCAGCTAGGTACATTTTACTTGTTAGACACTATTATGGAATTTTTAAATTACTTGCTCTGTTTAAAAGGATACTTTCCTATATCAAACAATCAATATTTTAAATCACTTACCTGTGGATCATTTTTATCCTGTTTTTCCATTTTGCTTCTAGTTGAAGTTTTCTGAGTGTTTTCTTTTCCATCTATGTCTTCACAATACTTATTGTTGTTCTCTCCCTGTTGCTTATCCTAAAAGAGTACGGTTTGTGTCACCGAATTATCTTACTTGTTAGGTACCAATATTAAGTAATAATCAGAATCAACCATCAGATTTTCGGTCAAAATATTTCTATTTGCATTGGGGCTTGTTGAAGTTTTCTGATATTACAAATTAATTAATAACTCCGTTTATAATTGTATTTTCTATTACTTTTCTAGAAAAACAATCTATCAAGCGCAATTTAAAAAACAGCAAAATTTCACCCATTGAAATTAAAGAACTTATGTAATATTGGCAATTTTTCTGAAAACCCAACTTCAGATTTCTATAAATGAAAATGAAACGTTCTGTAACATACCACTCACCTTAATACAAGAACTTTTGTGAGGCGTATTTTCGTTATCGGAGCTGCTGCTGCTCTTCGGTGGTGAATATGTTTTGTCCTGATCGCTGTCATCATATGTACTACTTATTTCACCATCACTATCATAATAATTCAGTAGCCATCTGTTTGCTGTTCTATAGGAAACACTTAGTTCATCCCTATTTTCTAGGTTGTCCAAAAAGTAGCAACTAGTTTCATACTTTCTGGACCAAAAAGATGAAGAATCATTTATTTGAAAGGCATTCTGAATGACTCTGCATCGATCACTGACATCGTTGTTGTTCTTCTAAAAATGAATAAATTAATTTACCTAAAGGCTTCACGAACCCATAACCAACAATTTTAATAATACAGCCGTCCGTCGCGTCAGTAAAAAAAATTAGACTACAGAAAAGAAATATCTAAAAAATATGATATGGCGATATCCGTAAGTTTTTTAAATGAACAATAAATACTTACGTTTTGCTTCACTTTTGAACCTTCATCGGTTTCTTTCCATTGTTGTAGTGCGCCCTCATAAATCCTCTTCGATCTTTGGCTTATAACGCTGGAGGCGAGCATCCTTCCGCTATGAAATTTCTTGGAATACTGATCGTTTCTTATGCAAAACTACTAATTAATACAAGTTTTACACTTTTTTGGAGGGGAAAACAGCATAAAAACAAAGTAACTGCACCTACCAATAAAGAAACCAAGCAGTTACTTTATTTTTAATTGCTAAAGTGCATTTACTTCATTAGACCCTAAACCAACAAATTGTTAAAATTCAAAATAAAAACAAAGCAAGTTAAATATCTTAATAAAAACCAAGTAACTGAAATTCAGTTACTTCGTTTTTGTATTGTGAAATACACTTACTTTGTTTTTATTTTGAAAAGGCCTGTAAGTACGGGTAGTTACTTGCTTTGACTGATACTATATCTTCGGTGTTTACTGTTCGATTGCAAAGATTTTTATACCGAAATGTGCGTAAGAACAGAGCAAGGTCGGATAACGTGGAAATTCAATTTTTCAAAAAATGTTAGTTACTTGGTTTCTATTTTGGACAGCCGAGATGAATGTAGGTCCAAAAAAGCTTGCTTATTCCAGGAATCACCATAAACTATGATGATATTTCTAACAGGCGAAGTACAATTCACCTTTCATTAACGTTGCACTGGTTTTTGGGTCTTTTAACGTAAAAATCGACTTGTATCATCAGATATATATGTATAGAGGAAGTCTTAAAATTGTAATTTGCTATCATAAAAAAATGTCCGTTGGAGAGTTTTCATGTGCTTTATAAATTAATTTTTGTTTTTAACTTTATAGCATTGAAACATTAAAAACTTAAAAAAGTGCGTATTTGTTGGTTCTCATCCACCCCTCACAGTTCTCGGCCAATTTTATATTAGTTCTCGGCCACACAAAAACCAGTTATTAAAAGGATTACTTATAATTAAAAAAACAGATGTCACCCATACTGTCTCCGACTTTCCCAAAGTCCAACGCACTTGGTCCATTATCAATGACAGGTCTAGCAGATCTTACATAGTGGAGGAGAAAATTTTCCTTTAGCATTAAACAAGATTAGAAATGTTTTTTTTTATTTCCTTGTAAGGAGATTTCGAAAAAATTTTGGACCTAAAACTTTGCCACTAGATTGACGGAGTGCGAAACCTGATTCATCTCCATTGAACACTCTTCTAGGATATTAGATTACAAAACACAAAACATTCTCATTTAAATATTGCTCTAGGTTCTGAAACCATTTTCTCACAGATTGTTATGTCACTGCTGTTTGAGCTTTATTTACCCGGCTCCCTTAAGGGAAATCTCTGGATTTATTTTCATGAAATTCATATACCATGTTTGTTTTGATATTCCGCCTTTAAATAAATTGAGACCAGAATCTGCATTTATCTCAGAAACTGTATCCAAAATCATCTGTTTTTATCGGAAACACATTCAGCCAGATCAATGAGGCTTTTTTAATTTGTTTTCCCCTTTAACCGTTAAATAGTGGTGGTGGGCCTGTTTTTCTCAACACATCCGGTATTCTTCCTGTAAGCCTGTCCTGAAAACGCATTTTTCAAATCTTCCTCATTTTATGATACTTTACTCTCCTTATTTTTGGTTTAAGTCGGATTACCTCGTCTGTTTGGTTTTGGTTTTCTTTTTTTAGATCTACCTAGCCACTGAAATAAATATATAAAAATAGAAATAACAATTTGCCAAAGAAACCGCACACCCATGTTAAAGGCCGATAACTAAAACAACTGTAAATATTAGTTTTCGGCTCCCATATTTTTCATAGTGGCCGAAAAACGCTAGTTCTCGGCTACTAGGTTTTTCAAGGGCCGAGAATCAAAACCCCTGTAAATATTAGTTTTCGGCCTCCAGTATTTTCTTAGTGGCCGAGAGACGCTAGTTCTAGGCCACTTGATTATTTATGTGGCGAGAACCAAAACCACTGTACATTAGTTTTCGGCCACAAAACTTTTGTATTTGAGATTTTTTCACGTTTTCACTAAAAACAGAAGTACCGAACACAATACTAATGGATTATATGTAACTAGGGAGCCTTCTTGGCATTAGTAGTGTATTTTTTGGCCACTTTGTATCCTTTCTCAATGGAAATCTTAGCATATGACTTTTTACAATCTTCAAGGGCCTTCTCCAAAGTGAGGGCTGAGAATAACATTAAATTTTTGTTTCCCACCAAATATGTTTTATCGTCTTCAGATGACAAAAACTTCACAGAATAAGTTCGTCGATTCTTCTTCATTATTATGGCCGGTTCATAACAATAGCCTTTTAATTTGGCCCATACCAACAGTCCTAGGTCCCAGCTACTTTGAAGCACTGAAGTAACGTTTGATTGAGCAGGAGCATGGCTTCATTATTAAAACTTGATGTGGATGATTTATTTAATGTTAATTCTTCAGATAGATTATTTAAAGGAGGTTCTTCGTTTATTAATTCTTGAGACGTTGAAGGATGATTGAAAGTATTTTCTTCAGATAGATTATTTATAGTAGATTCTTGAGACGTGGAAGGATGATTATTTTCTTTAGACGGATTTTTTTAAGTAGATGTGGAAGGATGATTTGCAGTATATTTTTTAGATGTATTATTTAAACTCGTATTTAAAGTATGTTCTTCTAAGGATTGCTGAGATGTGGAAGGATTATTTAAATTAATTTCTTCAATGGATTGCTGAGATGTTGAAGGATTATCTAAAGTAATTTCTTCAATGGATTGCTGAGATGTGGAAGGATTATTTAAAGTAATTTCTTCAATGGATTGCTGAGATGTGGAAGGAGTAGAATCTTCTCTTATGGATTTTCGTTTATATACTGTTGCAGATGGATTGATGTAGCCAGTATTATTATAAAATCGTTCTGAATCACGTAGATTGTTTTTAAAATCTTTAACGCCACAATGTTGGCAAAAATCGTACCAAACAACCCTCTTTAAAAAATTTACAGACCTGGAGTAAACCCTTGGATCAATTTTTCTAATGTTTTGTTCATTTAAATAACATTTAAAGAAAAATAGATCTATTTAGGATCAAATTGAAATATTTTACGACTTTGTCTTTCGACGATACTTCTGGAAATATCTAATATTTCCTTGGTTTTTTTTTATTAGAACAACTACGTTCTATCATTTTAAATTTATGTAAAACACAACTGTGCGGCCGCTAAAATTGGACAAAGCTTTACGAGTGGCCAATCTCTTATTTTAAAAAAACAATTGTCCATAAGAAATCATCTCTCGTTTCATTATCGATATTGTTGTAATTATAAATACGGTTTAAAATTTTATTTACTTATGTAGTTGATTGTGGAGGAAAAGTATAATGTTGTAAACACATTTTAAATTCTAAAACTCTGAAGGGGTTTTTAAAGAAGGATTCTGATGAAAATGTCAAAGGCATCTTGAAACTCTGAAATAGAAGAATTACTTTTATAGATACATGTAGACTTAAATATATATCCGCTATATGTGATGTTTACATTCATAAAAAAAATGTATCACTGACTGACAACGAACATGGTACCTACCCATAAGCCGGTAAAATCTTTACACGTCAAAAAAATTAGTACGTAAGAGGGAAAGCGAGTCAAACTTGGCACCTACTTTACAAACCAATATAATACAATTGTTTTAAAACTAATTTTGGTTAACCCATTTTTGGCCAATGGTGCGTATACGCACCAGCCTACAAACTATTTTTTTAATGATATTAAATTTTTAATGAATTATACATTTTTTATCAAGAGAGTACTGTTAATCAATAATGGTTTGCATACCTATCTTTTTTTTCTACATCAGATTTTTTTTTAATAATTGATCAAAATATGTCGATTTTCATTCACGATGCAGACCTATAAATAATTGCATATAAAAGAGATCAATTTTTCACAAATCTAGTTTATTTATTCACGATATTATCACTTAGATACTCTTAAATAACATAGCATAATAGTGTTACTCCATTCATTTTTTTAAAACATTCAATTCGTATAAAAAAAATAGTGGTTCGTATACGCACCATTGGCGCTATATATGACCGAAAACATATTATATGCACGTTAGATAGACGTGCGCACTTCCTGTATCGTCTCACAGTCGCAGTTCTGCTTTGATTGTTGTGTAGGCAAGTCGGTAGTTGAAATTTTTGCGATTTTGTTGTGTGAGTAAGATTTTAGAGATATGGCGCGAAGAAAATATCTGACACAAAGAGAATTGCAAGAGGCATTGGAAGATATTGAAAATGATATTGAAGCCGCTGATGGTAAGTAATGGATGTTTATTTCATGAGTGTTAGTGTTTCATGGTATATTCCTTTGCAGTAGGTGTGTTGAACGCTGCGTACATTCCACCGGAAGTAGATGAATTGACGGACTAAGAGAACATTGATGAAAATGATCAAATGAATCAAATACCACTTGATCAGGATATAGCCGGTACATTCGAAATAGATGTGGTAGATAACGACGATTCATATGATGAATCAGATGACGAGACGCTATTGGAAAAAAGAAAAAGAGAGAGCCTAAGTGGGGAAAAAGGAAATTACCCAAATTCGTTTCCCTATTTCAAATGAAATAGAATCCATACAAGAGCTGAAGAACTCTTTGGAAGGAAAGACACCACTGGACATATTCTTTTTATTTTTTAACCAAGATCTCCTGTCCATGATAGTGGACTTTTCGTTGAAATATGCGCGTAGCAATAATCGTCTAGATTTCGATATCAATATAAATATTCTGAAACATTTTCTTGGTATTTTGATACTTTCTGGTTATCATATTTTACCGCAAACAGATCTCTACTGGAGCAAAGATGAAGACAAAGGTGTTGACATAGTCAGACGATGTACGAGCAGAAATATGTTTAGAAGTATCAAAAGAAACTTGCATTTTTCCGACAATGCAAATCTAAATAAATCTGATAAATTTGCCAAAATGCGACCACTTTTTAATGCCATCAATATTCGCAACAAGCAATTTGGTGTGTTTTCGCACAATCTTTCTATCGATGAGCAAATGGTTCCATATTTTGGTAGACATTCTTGCAAGATGTTCATAAAAGGAAAACCCGTTCGATTCGGATTCAAATTATGGTGTTTATGCTCATCTAACGGATATCTTTTTACCCTCATACCTTATGGTGGAGCGAAAGCAGAGAACGAAAAATCTCCATATGGACTAGGAGGGCAAGTAGTGTTAGATCTCTTGGCTGTCTTAGAAAATCCGTTACATCATAGGATTTTTTTTGATAACTACTTTTCGTCGTATAAATTATTTGAGAAATTACATGAAATGCAATATTCTGCAACAGGTACCATTAGGGAAAACAGAACGAATAAGTGTCCTCTAGAAAATGTGAAGTCTTTCAAGAAGAAAAAAAGAGGTGCTTATGATTCCGCAGTTGAAGAAAATATTCAACTGAGTCTTGTCAGATGGAATGACAATGCCATTGTCACTGTCGCCAGCAATAATTTTTCAGTGCAGCCATTAGCAAATACCAAAAGATTTAATCGAAAAGAGCGGAAGGATATTCAAATTTCACAACCTAATATGATAAAGCAGTACAATTCATATATGGGAGAAGTCGATCTGTACGACAATGCTATTGCTAACTACAGAACGAGCATAAGAGGCAAAAAATGGTGGTGGCCTTTATTTATCAACAGATTAGACAGCACTATAGCTAACTGTTGGAAACTCCACCGTAAAGTGAATAACTCTAATATAACACAGCTGGAATTTAAGTCTTATTTGGCAGTACGTCTTTTGAAAAGTGATGATGCCTCCATGAACAAGAGTAATAAAGGAAGACATCCAAGAGAAGTTATCCCAAATGAAGTAAGACTTGACAGAATTGGACATGTTATAATAAAACATCCTGAAAAGGCAAGAAGAAGATGCAAGCAGTGCAAAAGTCATACGATATATCTGTGCGATAAATGTAAAGTTCATCTACACACTGACTGTTTTGAAATGTATCATAAATGAAATAATTTAGTTATCGCCAATGATGTCATAAATATGTAATTTTTTAATATATTTTTTTTTTATATAATAAAAGCTTTGTAAAAACATTATTTCAATAATAAATATGCCACAAAAAATTATTTTCTTAATGTTTTTCATAATTTGGCCATAAATGGGTTAATTAAGCAGTACGTAACAGGGAAAACGAGTCAAACCGAGAGTTAAACTTGGCACATACTTTACAAACCAATATAGGTAATAAAATTGTTTTAAAACTAATTTTGGTTAATTAAGCATACCTCCTTACCTCATATTAAGTACAGGGTGTATCAACGATGCGTGGGTGAACGATAGCTGCTTCCCTATATGAGATAGGAAAAAATGCTTCACATAAAAGTTGTAGAGGGCATTGAAAGCTACGTTCCAAAAATAACTACCGATAAATGTATGAGTTATCGAAGTAATGTTTTTTAAAGGAAACACCCTATATATTTTTACTCGATTAAATTTCTTTGGAAGAGTGTTTCTCAAAAATATAGGGTATTTTGGGCCGAAAAAGCCGAAAATGATAATGAAAAATCGATAGGACTGCTCTGGGGTAGCGCGCCGGCCCCATAAGGGGGTTTCGTCTCGCAACTTTTTGCGGGCGAATTTTTCCTAGCCGAACCCGATCACTTAGGTGACTCAAATTTTCACAGATTATAGCACTAACATTACTTAAGAGCACCGTAATATTTAAAAACGATATATCATAACGGTTGGCTCATAAGAAATTCGTCCGCAAAAGGGTGCACGCTAAAACGGCATTTTGACGCCCGTACGCTATCCCAGAGTAGCCCTAGGGACTTTTCATGCTCACTGTCTCCCAAAATCTAAATATGACTCCATTAATTCCATAACCACTTTAGAGGATACAGATGTACCAGGCTGAGCTTCCTTTCCAGCATAAGCTTTATACTGCAAAGTGTAAAAAGGATCGGTTAAAAATTTTAACACCATACCGATGCCTTTTATTTTGCAGGTACTGCCTAAAACTTAGCCTGCCATCTATGCACAGTGACATTTCGGGAATTACACCGTGATTAAACTTATCCACTAGCAAGTCAATAAGGAGCTGAACCTTGTGAAGCCGATTTCCGGGGATCTGTGTTGAGTTATTCGAAATATGAAACATGCTGAAAATAAATAGGTATATATTTTAGTAATTAAAACCTAATATAAAATGATATAATAGTACCTTAACATCAACTCAAATCGGTTTCTAGCCATGTAGTCTGTCAGCTTGGTCTTATATAACATATAACTGTGTTTTTCCAGTAATGAGCCAGAGAGGGCATATCTACCAAACCCATCCACATAAGTATGCCTAAAAAGGTATGCATTTCTTGTCGATTTGTTGATACTCAGCGTTTAATTCTTGCACTTCTCTTTATATTGGGCCTTCGAAGACATTGTTGAGCGTAAATGTTTTTTTGATTTACCAACAGGGATACCACTTCTTCATCAAAAAATAAACAAAAGAAATCAAAAGGGCTGGCATCTTGCATTGTTTCTATTAGATCGGGGTTTACGCCTACTTCTTCGGAATTCGTATTATAATTTATATGTTTAAGCCATTGCTGATCAGATATTTGCCAATCGTCAGATATGGCAACATTATCAGGTGTTGGTTCCTGCTCATTATTTAACTCTTCATTTCTCAAAACTTCATTTTCATTAATTTCATTCTCATTGTGCGAATCTTCACTGTCTGGTTCATACTCTGGATCCGCATCACTGTCAAGTAACTCTGAATCAGACTATGATCCACTTTCTGGTTTTGCAGTCTCAAACAAATGAAGCAATCTCTTCTCTTCTTTGGATTCAATTATTACAATTTACACTCGCGACTGTAACGGAAACCAACAACTAAACTAACTAAACTAACTGCTAAAAGGAGCGTTGACAAAAAGGTTTCTTATGGGCCAATACTAACTAATAGGACGGACCTCTATCGTCATCAACACATAATTCTCAAATTTAGTTAACGGAAATCTGCAGGTAGATAAATATCAGAATTAGAGTATTTTATTGGGTGTACCAGAGATAGCGCTCATGGTCCCCTTAGGAAAAAACCCCTCGTGCAGCCATGAGTGCCAACATAGGTACTTAGGTTAAAAATGGCGTGAAATACTTAAAAAGATATTAATTAACCCCCAAAAGGTTCTTACAAAAGCTAACATTAAAATAATAAATAAAAATCGTTTCGCACTTATGGCTCAACACGCTTCAGGAGAGCTGCAGCATAAATGGCAAGTTAACAGTGTACCACATTTGGTACTCATGGCAGTCAACCTGTTAATTTTGTTCAAGGAGACTTGATTCGCAATTGTTTTGAAGGAAATTAAACTATATAAAAGAAAAGTTGTATTTATTTAATAATACTCTATAGGTATACCATAATTTTTTGTTTAGGAACAAAAAAGAAATAAAAGTAAAATAAAAACAAAAAATACAAGCTTTACAAATTATATAAAGAACTAAAAACTAAATACACAAAAAATTAAATACTAACTGTACAATAAT